CGTCACGACGTAGCCCAAGAATGAAATTCCCGAAAAGCTCTTTTCGAGTGCGATCCTGAATCCAGCATCCCTCAGTGCTCCCAGCGTCCACTCAATGTGTTGTGCATACCCGTGATAGGTCTCCGAGTAGACAAGGATGTCATCCATGTATACGATCACGCAGAAGTTGATCATTCACTGAGTTAGCCGCGTCTGCCCTCAAACAGCACGAAGGCCGTCTTCGGCCTATCTTCCTCCATGACCAGGATGTGATGGAAGCCATGCCGAATATCAAACTTACTAAAATAATTAGCGCATCCAATCGCATTCAGCAAATCATCGATCCGGGGGAGGGGATACACATCTTTGATCGTGACTTGGGTAGATCCGTTATATCGCAATAGTGTTTCTTGTCCTTATATCGGGCGAGGAGAGGGGAGATTCCTTCGTACAGGGTTTGAGGGGGTTCCAAAGAATCGACCATCCTCGAAATTTGTACGAGGGGTTCTCCCAAAATCATCGCCTTGGTTCGTTGGATGTTCCGATTAGTTAGGTGCATTGTTCTTGGGATCGTTCGGGGCGGCGGGTAATAAATACGCTGTCGCGCTAGCTTCAAGATTTTCGGATCATTTTCGTCACTGCTATCCGCATCCTTCGATGATGGCTCATTGTCTGCAGAGTCTTCCCAGGCGATCATACGGAGAGTCCCCGCTAACATCGGCGAAACTCGCGGAACTGCGTTGATGGTAGTACGAAGGGTCAGTCTCATTGGTACAGCATAGAGCTTTCCTCCTGTATTTCGGAGGATGATTGACCTTCGCTCGAAGTCCAAGTTCGCTCGTAATGCCACAAGAGTGGGAAGTCCAAAAAGAACGTCGTAGGTATTTACATCTAACACCACAACATCTCCCAGTGCATGCACTTTTCCCAATCAGAAAGCGACATTGGTCATTCTTCCCACCATTTTAATCTTCTCTTCATCTGCCGATACGAGCTGATCTTTTTCCGAAAGCATGATCAGGTCGTTTTTCCTGCTTGCCCTCTCAACTACTCTTAGCGAGATAGCCAAAACAGCGGCTCCCGAATCGATGATTGCATTGTACGGAATTCCCCAGATTTCAATGTCGCATTCCGCAGATTTCCAGCGGATGGGTTTAATCCGAAGAAAATTATCATCTTTCTGCATTAGTCCTACCTGTATTGAATCTGACGTGCCGGTCGCGTTTTCGTCTGGCGTGGGGCCTTTCGCTTTTATGTTTGGTGTTCGAGCGAGGGCGAATCGTTTCCGATTCGCCTTGCAGTGTTGTAACATCCGCTCATTAGCCTGTTCAGAGATCGAGAGCAAATGGCCGATCGGGAGTGGAATCCGATGGTCCAAAGCTCGGACGATGTTCAGTCCATCAATTTCCCCAGTGACAAAAGTGGGTCCTCCCGACTCCATTTCTCTTGGAGAGGGTCGCCACTCTGCCACTTCTTTCTGTTCTGGTGCCGGCCTGATCGTTCCGATCATTCTGAGGCCAGGCCCAGCGATACATACTGATCTAACGGAAAAAGCTCGGCAGCTTCTTCCGTGGTTGCTAGCGCACTTCCCACACCTTCCATTTCTTCCATGAGAGCTCCGACCCTCCCTAGTCCGTTAGCGATGGGGGCCGCTGCCATCGGTGCGACCCCGACTCGTCATGGGCCAGATGCCCTGGCTGATGGCATGCATAACAAACATTCAGATTGTTTGCGGCTCCCCCAAGAGTGGGCGTCGGGGCCAGCCCTTGTTGGATTGGAGGGGCGCATACTGTGATGGGCCGCATGTTCCTCATCATGGCTTCCAATCGAGCGGTATGCTCCCGTTGTTCCTTTTTGCTTTCCTGGATTAGACTAACCAAGGTTTTGGTCAGTTCGAGTATGGCAGTTGATTCATTCGATCGTACGAGATTCTCAACTGGAGGCAGGGGTGCCGTTCTTACAGGCGTTGGCATTACAGGGACAGGGACACTCGGGATCTCACTTGGAACTGGTCGTTTAGGGGCTATCTGTTCCATTTAGGTGACAGGACATGACACAAACCCCATGTTTTCAAATTTGTTTTGCAGCGCAGCTAGTTCAGCTCTGGCTCTTATGAGTTCGGACGAATCTCCTTCCCTAGAGTAGTCTTCTCCTTCCAGGAAGTTCGCCGCGAACTTCCATTCCATTTCTTCTGCGGCGGCCATGATCTGCTGTAGCGTATGATTGATGGGGGAAAACTGCTTTCGCAGCTTCGCCCTTATTGTTCGGTTGCGGAGTCCGTTTATGAACAAATCTCTCCCTACTTTCTCGCCTCGCTCAGTTTTCACAAATATTCGGTAGAACCGGTTGCAATACTCTGCGACGGATTCGAGAGGTTTTTGCACTCGGTCTGAAGATCTACCCATACATAGGTACTAAACCAGTGATGAGCATCTCCTCCTAATCAAGCGGGGATGTTTGCCTGAGCTTCGTTATCGTCATACTGCTGTGCTTGGAGCGTGGCCAACCAGGCTCCTGCCAGGTGGTGCGCAGGATCAAATAGATAGAGATCAGGTGGCGTCATGGGAGCCCGTGCTCGTGGGGCGGGTTGATTAGGATTCGGTTGATTAGCATTCTGTTGCGGATTCGGGTTTTGCACATTAGCAGCCATATTGGCTGCTCGTCGATTAGCCGATCTGCTTCGGGTGATGACAGGGTCGCGTCTATGCGCGTTCCGGGGGCGAGGCCACCCTCGGTTAGCCAGATCGCCTAATTAGCGTGCTATTAACCCTAAGACCTAGCCACGTGTCGGGCTCCGATACCAACCTCACGCCCAGCGCGACTTCCTGATCGGAGTAGGATGTGGGCCTGAAAGTGCGAAAAGGGGTGTGCCAAGGATTTTTGGGGAAAGTGGAGTCTCAGGTCAGAACAGAGATCTCCTGGGGCAGTGTTTTTCGGGGGCATGAGTGCAATTTGGCGGGGAGGGCGGATCGCCTCTGGTCACGAAGCAGATGGTACGCGTGGGTTGCTCTGGGTCGGGCGAGCCATTGGTTTTGGGGGCGGCAGTTTGCGGGAGGGTCCCTTCGGGGTGGATGTGCTTCCGATGACTCAGGCCGTCGGGAATTGCCACGTGGCGCCGACCGTGGCGCGTTTAGGTTGGGCCTCCGGGGCGCTGGGGTCCTCTTATCGCCGCGTCGTCGGCAGTTTCCACAAGGCGTACTGGGCCAGTATGGGGCTATGGCCGGCCACGAGACGACGCTGAGTTGGTGATATGGAAGGAGGAGGCGAAAGGGATGGAAACTGGTGGTGATAACGACAAATCTGGGGTGGATGAAGTAGTAGGTATGGTCCGGAGAAGGGAAATCAGAGCACCGGGGGAACTTGGGAGGATCTTCGGCCTACAGACGACGCACTGAAGACTACTTCCGCGACAAATTACGGATGTCTCCACGTATCTTCCGTGAGATCGTTGAGAACTTGACGCCGATTCTCGAGCGACGTGTGACGTTCTACAGAGAGTCTTTGCAGCCAGACCACATCGTCGCCTACGGGCTTTACAGATGGGCGTCTGGCGAGACATACGAGAGCAGCACCTGCAGCTTTGGAATTGGCAGGGCTTCGGGTTTGGTGGCCGTCCGGGACGTCACAGCTGCGCTGCTTTCGGTGTACAGGGAGAAGGTGGCGTGGCCGACTGGGGTACGGAAGGCGGTTGTTCTGCGTGCTTTTGCGGACAAAGGGTTTCCCGAACTGTCATGGGTGCATCGATTGCACCCATATCTACATCGACAAGCCGGCGAACGAGGCTCCAGAAGACTACTACAACCGCAAGAGACGATTCTCTGTCGTCGCTCAAGTTGTGGTGGATTTGGACTTGCGCGTCCTCGATGTGTTTGTGGGTTATCAGGGGAGCTGCCACGACGTGAGGGTCATCCATCTGTCCAGTCTTTGGTCGCGTGCGGTGGGGGGCGAGTTGTTCACAGGGCCTCCTGTGTTGCTGTCGTTCCAAGTGCAGACCAATGGTTATCTGCTGGCCGGCAATGGTTACCCGCCAACGAATGGATGGTTGTCCCCTATGGCGGCACGGCGCAGACTCCATTCGAGGCCCGTTTCGACAACAAACAGAAGACGGCGAGGGGGGCGGTGGAGAGGGCCTTTGGGAGACTGAAGGGAATGTGGCGGTTGTTCCTTGGGTCGCACAAGACTAATATGGAGACCTTACCGCAGCAGTTCGTGGCCGTCTGCATCTTGCACAACATCCTCATCGACGCCGGGATCCCTTTCGATGAGAACTTGCTGTGGGAGGTGGACGCCAACGGAGTTCGCCGTCGAGTGGATCTTGCGATCCAGCGCCCCCCCAAGCCTTTGTGCATGGAAACTTCTATGGGGGAAGCGGTCATGCTGCGTGAAGCGCTGGCGGAGCGAATGATGCAGCGATGAGAGATGTCGGCGGCGCGGGGCGGAAGTAGATGTAAGCTGCGTACGTGGAAGAGCGTTTGACGGCGGCAGTAGAAGGAAGCAGCGTGCGGAGAGACGAAGGAGACAGTAGATTGTGTGATGCCGTCAAAGTCATTGTCGTCATTGTCGAACGAAGACCGAAGAACGTCTGTGTAGTGTAGTAGTCCCCCTCCATTGTGTCCTCCACATTCAGATTGTTGACGACCGCTTTTTCTTTTTGTTTTCTTTCGATCCATGCTTTCACATTGACGCGTTGATAGTGCTTTATTCCCAGTTTATGCGCAAGCCATAGGGCGGTAGATGTGGTGGTGGCGGCCGATTATTTTTGTCTGTGAACCGCATGGATATGGGATTCGGGTCTGTGGTGTGCGACAGACGCATGCATGCGTCGGGGTTCCTTTTCCCCAATTTTCGAAGTGCAGTACTGTGCACAGTGTACTTTTTATTTGTTTACAAGGGTTTGATGATTATTGTGTTCTGTTCGTCGAGTTTTATTGCTTGTCATGGACTATTTTCCTCCCCGTCATGTGCCCTGCGTGCCGAGATGAGGGCGCACTTGATGCGTGATGATGTGAATGAGTGCAAGCCATTGATGATAGCATTCATTTGAGTTCACATATGTCCTTGGTCCAAATGTTGGAGTACATATTTTCTGTTGCCAATCATTCGTCTTCATCTTCGTCAAAGTGTTGTGAATGGTTGAACGATGAGTGCAGGAGAAAGAAGGTCACTGAGTGAAAACGTCAATCTCTCACACAGAATTCATGCACCTTATCACCCACAGCTTTACATGGAAGCTTTGCAATCAGAAAGAACAAACATAAGAAAACACGAGTGCGATATAAAAGGAACGTTCGCCACAACACACGAAATCAAATTAGCATCAATGATGCACATGGACATGATGGACGTTAATGACACCGCACAGTTGACAATGAGTGGCCCCTTTAATGAAAAGACGTGCATGTCGACAGCACTTTGCTGTCAGCTTTATGAAACCGAGCTCTCACCCCTACTCGGCAACCGCTTTTACAACAAGAAACGGCTCGACGCAAAGGAAGTAGAAGACAGTGTACGAAACGCGCGCAACCGCTATTCACACGCCATGCCAGCTCCTATCCCCATCATCATTGACGACATCATCGTCGTCGCCACCATCGTCGTCGTCACCATCACCACCTTCGTCATCATCATGGTCATCATCATCATCGTCATCATCATCATCTTCATCATGAACATCGTCATCATCATCATCATCATCATCATCTTCATCATCACCATCATCATCGTCACCGTCATCATCACGATCGACAGCATCACGATCGTCATCATCATCATGAACATCGTTATCATCATCATCGTTGTCGTCACCATCATCATCATCGTCACCATTATCATCGTCATCATCAACGTCATCATCGTCAACATCATCGTCATCATTAGCAGCACCGGCGGGTGGCTGTGCGCGGTCACCTCTTGTCGTCGTCCACAGCGCCTGCCGTCACGATTCCCCACCCTCGTCCTTCTCGTCGTCTTCATCATCGATCTCCGGAGGTCCAGTGCCTAACCAATCTAGTCGTCTGGCGAGCTCAGGAGACGTCAACGTGGCGTCGTTGTGGAACGACACCCCACACGAAACCCACTCGGGGATGTACACCGGAGGGTCGAGGAGCAGTGGTACCCCATTTTCTTCGTTACTGCATTGACACACTGCAGAACATGGCGGCGCGCGTCGAACGAGCCATGCAGCGACGCAATGAGCGTCGGTTTCGCAATGAGCTCCACGAGATGGGACGCCTCAAAATGCGAACGGAGATTATCTCCCGCCATCCGCATGATCCACATGGCGGCAGACAGCAAAAGGCGCATGCAGTCTGCCACGTTCCTCAGCCTCTCGTACGATATCCGCCCGCCGTCTACCCCCTCCCCCATGTCAACAGCATTCGTGAAAGCTCCCACCAGACGCTGCGTTGTGGACTCCTGATACGACGCCATTTCGTCCTCCTCGTGCCTGTCGTGTATGACGCCACCTACGTACCAGATGGGGAGCTTCATATGAAGCTCTAAAGTGTTATGGACGACCGCCGGACTCACACATACCCGCCAGTCCTCTCCAAACCAGATGGCGCGGGCGAGGTCTGTGGCAACGTGGTTCAGCACATAGCCATAGGAGCAGTGGTACCCGCGCGCGCGATTGGGGGACTTGAAGATCCACCCATGGATGATGCGCAATGCTATGGTCTGCACCCTCGAAGCCCTCTCCTTCGCGGCCCCCAACTCCGACACGTCTTTCAGCTTCTGCCGAGGGATCGTGGCGTTCGGGAGGACAATGCTTTTTCTGATCTCCGACGGTTTCACACCCTTTGCGATGGCGATGAGGTGCAGGCACGTCTCTTGGATGATCTTGAACATCCCATGCCCCTCCGTCTCATTCCAGAAATGCAGATCGTCCACCCACAGTTTCGCTTTCGCCTCCAGAGCCGCCAGGTTTCCGGATCGCCTCTGCCTGTTAATGAGGGGATCATCGTTATCAGCATCATCACGACCGTCGCCACCGCCCCCCCCCGCGCCTGTCGTCGATGTACCAACGACAGCCCCCACCGCTGCGGCTTCCTTTTCGCGTCGCAAGTTGTCCCCTGACTGCCGCATTCACCCCCGCCCCTTCATCCCTTCTCGCCTGTCCCGCCGTGGGCGTCGCTGGGTTTGAAGGCGCCCGCATTGGCGGGTGTTTACCGACGTCCTGGGCGGCCTGGACGTCCTTCGACGGCACGGCACCGCGCATGCCAGGGGTCGTCGGCTGGCCACGCTCCTCCCTGGCAGCAACACCGCCTCCCACGCCGCCGCCCGCCTCACCCTTGCCTCGCGCAACCTCGTGACCCCCATCTTTACCACCGTCGACACCTTCCTCTCCGCTCACCATTCGCGCATTCGACAATTCACGCAAGGTCCCTTTCCTCCCATGAAACGTGTCCGCCTCCGATTCGAAATCGTCGTCCTGTCCGCTGCTGGCCTTGGTAACCCACTCTTCCCGCGCGGACCTCCCGATCACCAGAGCACTGCCGCTTGATGCCTTGGGCTTCTTCGCGTGATGCCTCCCCCGCTTCACGACGCCGGCAGCTTCCATTTTCTGGGAATCCCTCCCCCTTTTCCCCTTGCCAGAGTTGCGAGTATTCGTCATCGCCGAGAAGACAGACAACGATGATGGCGATGACGAAGAGACGACAACCACACGACTGCCACAACGATGCCCGACCGAACGGGGAGAAAGACGAGCGGATCGAGAAGAAGGAAGGGCGAGAACGTGAATACGACGTCTGGCGAAAACGGCGGTGGTGAGAAAAACAGTGCGCGAAGAGGAGACGACACGTAAAGATGACGTCTGGCGAGAGAGATGGCAGCGAGAAAAACAGTGCACGAAGAGGAGTCGACACGTAAAGATGATGTCTAGCGAAAGAGATGGCAGCGAGACACACAGTGCGCGAACAGGAGTCCCAACGTGAAGATGACGTTGGGATTGCGCGATGGGTTTGTTTTCGGAAGGAGGAGGAGCGACGAGGAGTCCGAACGCGAAGATGACGTCTGGCCACCGCCTGCGTGGACAGGTCATATCGTGGTCGTGGCAAATAGTCCTCACGCGTCAGCGACAGTGCACAGGTTGGCTACAGGGTGAACGGAATGGCAGAGGGACCATTCCATTTGCGATCCCTTTTCCGACACATGGACGGTGGGTATGCGGCATTCCGCCAATCACACCCCCAAAAAAAACGAACACCCCCGCCTCCAAATGACGATACAGCGGCAAAAAAAAAACGCCACACCCCCCACTGGCCGTGTCATTGAAGTCTGATACGCTCGTCTGCAAAAAAAAAAAAAAAAAAAAAAAAAAAAAAAAGTAAAGCGAAGTCCAACATACAAATTGAATTTCAAACTTCGACACCTTTTTGAGGGAGATATTAAATGGCATGACATAAATAGCAATACCGTTGATAAAAGAAATGTTCACTACAAGGAAAGCAAGAAATGAAAGACATGGTGCCCAGAGACATGTGTTCACTGCAAGGAAAGCAAATATCATGCAGTGAAGAGAGCCAAGAAAACGTCCATATCCAGCCTACCATATTGCAAATCAAAGTACTCTCTCTCTCTCTCTCTCTCTCTCTCTCTCTCTCTCTCTCTCTCTCTCTCTCTCTCTCTCTCTCTCTCTCTCTCTCTTTTTAACAAACCACAGAGGACAAGGGAACACATACATTGTACAAGTGCATCGTCGGTGACAGAAACTGGAAGCCAAATTCAGCAATAGAAGCCAACAATAACAAATTTCCAATTTTTTCTCTCTCTCGCCATCTCGCTGTCACGATGGACATGCAAATCCCAAAAGACAGAAAGTTCGAACTCTCGATGTATCCACTTTGCAAACTGAAGAAATGAATCAAACGGTCGTCCACGAACCTTTACCCGCCACGTTCATCATCGCAGTGTGGTCGGATCATCCGACCACCTCCCGATTACGAGCACACTACAACTACGGCCGAAGCGATAAACAAACAAGTAAAAAAATAAGGGCACTCCTCGCTCCACAATGTACAATGGAATAAATCCACGGAGAAGACGGACAGACCGACAGAAGTACGTGCACGATAGGCAATCTGCCACTCCTCTACAGACACAAACCGAAAACAAACCCATGGCACGAAATGAACTAGGAGGCGACACGTGCGTGGCAACAGAGTGACATCCATAGCCGAAAAATGCCCTGTGGCAGACGTTCCCGCCTACCGCTCTCGTATAGCCTTCGCTATTTCCAGCAGCGCATGACACATAAGCTTGCTAACTTTATTAGACGCAACACAGTGTTGCTTCTGGACCTCCACCTTCGCTTCGATAGCCTCACACTGCCGAATTTGAATGGAGCATTGCCTCTTGCTCGCGCTCTCCATCGCCTCGCATTGGCCCCTACTCGCGCTCTCCATCGTCGACGCCATCAACGCCCCATGCTTCTCCATGCACTCGCTTAAGGCCTCGAATATCTGCTGCCGCACGTTTTTCCTCTTCCTGAAACCGGTCGGACTTCCAGTCGTCTGTGAGCCCCCACGCGCTGAGCTGTCGTCTTCGTCGTTGCCATCTCCAGCGGCATCCCCGTCCCCCACAGATTTCGGAGTCGCCGACTGTGCAGATGGGAGTTGCACACCTCCTGCGGCACCGGTGTCTGCAACATTGCTCGGGCTGATAGTGTGGCTCCTCTCCTTTGCCCCTTTGATCTCCTCGTAGACGGCCCGATCCATGTTGAAGCTAAATCTTTTCTCTGCCCTCTGCTGACTCGTCAATTGAAGGAAGTCCTCCTTCCCCGAGATGCCCATGAAAGTGTGGATCTTTTTGAACTGTTGCATGAGATTATCCCATTTCTTCCCACATTTGTCTGTCGGCCTATCAACACCGACCTTCAGCAACCTCTCCCGGACGTCCAACCATTTCCACTCCCTCGACCGCATCCATGCGAATGCGTGCCCCGCCGCTTGCAGCTGGGCGTCCAGATCCCGCTTCGCCCTTATGAGGGCCACCATGTGATCCACAGACCAGAAATTTCGGCCACCCTCCTCATCCCCCTCACCTTCCGCATCAGCAGAGGTCGCCGACGACCTCTTCCACCTCCGCCCAGCATTCGTCGAAGCCCTGCCTCTGCCGCCCCTGCCACCCATGTTCGGCGCACGCAACGGGAACACGTCACCGTTGTCGTCCTCCTCAGCGTCGCACTGAACTTCGTCACCGTCTGTCCAGACGTCACCCCCCCCACCAACCGCGTCTGCTTGCCCGGCCCGCTCGCCCACGCGTAATCGCTGCACACCTTGCGTTATGGACTCTTCTTGTTGTCGCCGCAACTCCTGCCTCGACTCCTTCCATACCCGCCTACCATCTCCATGCGCGCCCTCGAAAGGGAAGTCTTCCTCACTCACACCCCTTTCAACTGGACGAGGAACAGTGTTTCGACCCCTGGAGAACACAGGAGGGGGGTTCATCCACTCAGGGCGACCACCGGTGGTGCGTGGAATTGACGGTCCAGAAGTCGCCTGCACTCGAGGCCGCTCCCTTGCCTTCTCGGACGTCTCCTGAGGTGCAGAACCACCCCTCGTGCGCCTGCCGACCAATGTCACCTGCCCCGCGTCGTCGTTGGGATGAGGGTTCACGAGCACAGTGCGCGTGGCAGAAGATGGGCTCCCGCTCCGCAGGCCAATTGTGAGATCCACAGGGGGGAGGCGTTCCTCGTCTTGGGCACCTTCGTGGAGGAGGGAAGTGAACGACTGCCTGTACTTCGCTCCGCGCCGATCATACAACTGGCTACCCATCCATTCCTGGGTCGACCCGCTACCCAGCGGAACTGTGTTGGACACGTCCACGTCCGCCTCCCCCTCGTCCGAATCGGGCAGAGGTTGCATGTGAGGCGGGAGTCCTTCGTACGGCGACGGACCTGAGTTCTTCTGTCTACACCGGTACAGATCGCAGGCCGGTGGCTGGGATAAGTGTCCGACAATGTGGCAAGATTCGGCTGCCGCCCGTCCATGGCCACGCTCTTCCTCACCCCTCGATTCCTGCAAGTACGTGAAGGCAACCTCCCCAATATGCACACCTGAACAAAGACGACAACGAGAAGCAGAATCACCACAAGGAGGACCAGCGGCAGCTTGCGAAGCACGTCGGCCATGTAACACAACCATTCTCGCAAGGGCAACTAACGACGACAACGCACGACAACGTAACGTCTACCCAGACGGCGGCAAACAGCAGGCGTGCGTGGGCAGGACTGGCGACGCCCTCTACCGCTTTACATTGTGGACCACTGCGCATGGTGACGGACGTAAGCCGCAGTCATTTTCGAAACGGCTGGCCGTTGGAGGCCTTCCCGTTTCCCGCCGGCGCTGGTGAGGGGCTAGGATAAACCAAAAACGGCCAGGGACCCCGTCCGCCACCCAACCTTACCGTTGCGGTCGTTCCCGCCGGAGTCGAACGTTGCCGGCCGCTAATGTCCGCCCACACCTTGGCTGGACCAGCAATGTACCAGACTACAAAATTCTGACGTCGTCGAAGAGCGCCGCAGCCGTCCCGATTTTCGCGGAAACTCCCACTCCGAGGGACCTCGCGAGGTACCTTGGGGAACACAGCCAAATGCCTGTAGCCCGAGGACGCCCCGACGACGCCCCGAGGAAATGTTTTCACATCGATTTCGAGGGATCACTCTCCGAGGACAGATGGAACGATCAATTCCTCGGGTTTTTTTAGCGCCCGAGGAGTGTCTAACGAGCCCCTAAGCCGGTAATCTTCTGCTCTTCTCATCTCGGGAACTTCCCTTGCTCTCGTCGTCCTATCGCTGAGTCTTTCTGCGACCTTTCACTCCCCCTTTCGGCCGGCTGTTCTTGCAGCCCCTCCTCTCTCTCATGGTTTTGTTTCCCGCTCGAAATCGCCAATGGTGTGACGTGTCTCTGGGCGACCCCCCCATCATCAAACATCTAGGGCCTCTCCTGGTGCGGATGATCCTGGCAGCTCAGCAAACCCTACAACGCAGCATACTGTCGAAGGTTAGTTGTTGTGTTTCTTCGCGAGGTAGTTGCCCCTGAAGTGCAGGACGCGCATCCAAACGACCCCACGACACTACACGTGTGAAGATCTGGATTTTTTTTGAATGAATCGTGTGATTAACCACTTCCCGAACCCGTGCTATCTTTCGTACCCCTCCCTTCTGTATCATATCAACCCCATAAAAAACCCTGTTTCGTTTTCTTGATTTTAGGTGCCGCGTTTTCAACGGCCTTTTCGATTCCCGGGTTCGACCTTTTCCCTTTTGCAATTCGGGAAATACTTGGGAATTTACGAGCGCCTTAGCGAGCGCACTGGAAATTGGACCCGACAGTTGGGATTTCCGGGATAAGCGGAACTTTGACGTGTCCTTTTTGTGTGTGAATGTTCTCGGTCGCATCGTGGAAAACTCTCGGAATTTTGCAAGGATATAAATAGGCGTAGGACTTTCTTTCCCTCGCTGCTCTTTCGCGCGCGGATATGGTAATTTCAATTTTGAATTGGTTTAGGACGTAGGCAAACTGTAACTGTTTCGGTGCCTTTTTCTTTTGTTCTTTTTGTTGACGGCGCCACGCATGCAAAAACTTTCTCCTCTCTCTCCCCCGCATCGCTCTCTCCCGCGCTCCTTTTTCCTTCCCCCTTCTCCTCCTCTCTCCTCGTAACTGTTTTTCTCCCTCCCTTTCTCTCTCCCGCTCAGTTCTATGCGCGCCCATTTTCCCCTTTCTTGATCATCTGAATCTTGGACCCGTCTTGCGCTACTTCTCGCGCCTTTTCTTCTCTATGAGCAAAGCTCGTGAAGTCCGGTTGATCCTTCGATTACTCTCGCCCACCAATCAGACGTGGGGTACAGTAGGATCTGCCTATCGCGCGACGAGTCTGATTGGTTAATCGAGAGTTTCGAAGCATCAACATGGCTCCCGCCAAGCGCTCCTCTCAAAGTCTTCTCCTCCTGCTTCTCCTCTTACACTTTGACTTTCCCCCTGCATTCTCCTTCCCTTACCTCCCTCCTCGTTGCTATAAATTCCGCAAGCGCGCCCGCAAATCTCTCTTACGTTCTCGACTCTCAAGCCAGCTTCCGGGAAGCAGTGGCTAGGCAGAGTGTTTGATGCGAGTCGGAAAGTCCTGTCGGGCTGACGATAGGCTGGCCGGTTGCGCGCTTGATCGCCACGACGGACTGTGGGATCGGGGCGAACCATGCACGTCGGCGGGGTAACGATCGCAGTGGTGGGAGTTAGCACGCGACGGCCGAGTTCGTCGGTGCGGGTATGAGGATCGATGACTGGAGTTGAGTGAGTGATTGGCCTGGGGCCATGTTGAAATCCACGGCGAATGCGCCTTTGTTGATGAGGATCTTTATCTCTGGTGTGAACCTGCGGCAGCAATGCCGAACATTGCCTTTTTGATCTCGTCCCCTTCTCTTCTCTCCTCTATCTGTGAATGATGAAGTGTCTCTCCCTCCCTCTCCCTCTCGCTCTCAAATGAAAATGAGTCTGCATGCTATTCCGGTGTAAAAGAACTTCTTCCGGAACTCTTCCATTAGTTTCCTGGGTAATCCCCCTATGAAAAGACCCCGGCTTCTTGTCTTGTGAACGGTGGACGCGTGTGTACTATTTAGTGATCTATCTTTTGCCTCGGTGCATATCTCATTTTCGCACCTTCCACAGTGAATGTATGTATGAAAGCATGCGTCCTTCTCTTTGAAGTTGATTAGACGATTGTTGTCGGGATTTTGTCCGAGAATGCACGAGTGTTTAGATCTGTAGCTTTGAAGGTACTGCGCATGCTATCTGTTCAACGTCGCGAGCCGCGAGCGGTCCGCTGAGTACATGCATGATTAAACTGACGAGTGTTTTTCTCTCTCTCTCTCGTATAAAAAAGGATTGATTGAGGATTGCGTAAGTATTTTCTCTTCTTTATTGATATGTGGACTGACTAGTACCCTCCGATCGGGCGTCAGCCTCCCGTACCTCCCGTACCCGCACGGCCTTTTCCATACAACGAGGAAAGGACACGTGTATGCGAGTGGGACGTACGAGAAGCTGTCGCACAGATCGGCGGGCAATACTACTTCCCTCCGGCAAACCGTTGTTCGGGGTTTGTAGAGGCTGGGTTTGTTATTATCGACACACACTTCCCACCCTACTCAATATTGCTCCCCTTTAACGAACTGATCGTCATTCCGTGGACGGCAGTGGCACCCCATTGGCCTCGAACCCTGTGTATAGAGTGCCAGCGTTTCGATCGCTACGAGGCGAAGGGCTTCCACTACCGAATACGGAGTGAGGACGAGCATAAGGAAAGAGCCACGCGTCTGCGACCCTCCACATCAGACTCAGAACTAACCAACGAACGACGACGGGACTTCATCCGAAAACGAGACACGCGAAGCGTGCCGAAGCCCTTCCGCTCTAAACGACGGGCCGTAGCACGGTGGGAAACTCGACAATACTTTTTGGATTGAATTTGGATTTTTCTCTTTTCGCGCCGTGCCCGCGCGCGCATTCCGCGACGCGCGAAGGCAACCGACTTACTTCATCGGACCAACGCGGGGGATTTCAGTTCCGTCTGTGTCCCCACACTCAATTCCCAAAAATCCTTGGCACACCCCATCTTGCTGTTTTTCTGGGCCTCTTTCCGCACAACTAACACTCCGAACGAAAGACAGCACAGGGCGTGAGGTTGCGCGTCACAATCGCGGGACAGAGCGGAAGGCAGCAGCCTTACAGACAGACCGCCGAACTGCGAGCCAAGTGTGTTGACCACACGGACCTGAGGGCATACTCACACGAGGACCAAAAGACCCAAAATCCCAAAATTTGAATCATTTTCCAGGTGGAGAGGCTCCCTACCTAAATGCCTCAAACGGTGACCCTTCTGTCAGCGGCCTGCAGGGCCGCGGGCGGACCCTATTTGAGACCACCTCCGGAGGTGGTCTCAAATCACCTTTCGTTTTTTTTTTTCTATGTTCGCGAATTGAAGAGAATCGTAGACGAAGAAGACAGCCCGCCAAACAACTGAAAGTGCGACCAGGAACATTTACGTTGTAGCGAAGCCCCACGCGTTATGCTGATACCACGCCGGGCGTGGAGGCACAGCCAGGACGGCGGCGAACTGGCAATCGCCCTTCGACAGTGTCCCTGCGCTTTTGTTGTCGACCCGCCAAAATTCCAGTCGATGCTGGTTCAACCTCCGACACAAGATTTCAAACAGCACGCCACAGCCTTCACGCTACCATGTCCACACCTCGATCCGGCCCACCCATCACAGATCACAGGTTCAACCTCCGACACGAGCGCACACCACAGCCTTCACGCTAGCTCCAGCCCGTCAATCCCCCATTCCCCGCCTCCCTTCGGTCGCCCTATCCCGCCCCCGCCCGTTCTCGCTCTCCACTCTCCAAAGACTCTCGCTCTCACGACCTGGCAGCACTCCGGCACTCTTCATGCATTTGGATGCATTCCACACCCGATAGATTCTTAATGTTGGACTTGTCCAATGCACCTGGTCCACACCACGTCCAAATGGGTGCAGATTGTTGTGAAGGGCGCCGAGCTTTTCTGGCAGGGCGGAAGAAAAAAGGAAAAGGGGAACCGCATGCCTTTTCGTTTTATTTCCCCTAAGGATATTCCACCCGTATCTGGCCCTCAAACTTGGCCAGGTACAGGGCCTGGCTTGGTGGGAACACTGGGAAGTTTGTCTGGCTGGGGTTGCTTGTGACTGAAAACAACGGCCTTCACACCAAGCCAGCCCCTGTATCTGGCCGTTGTTTTCAGTCACATTGCGGGGTCCTTGTTGATCTGTGCTGGTGACCGGCCTGGCCCCTGATTGCTGCGAGTCCAGCACTTCAGTCTTGGGGCATGCGGGTTCCCAGAAGGTGCATCACAGATTTTGGGCCTCGCTGTACTACTCGAGACTCTCAAATTTTCGAGAGTGGATCGCCGCTGCACTTAGGGCCTTGCCGGACGGCACAACTAACGAAACGAAATGACCACCAGAGTCGTGAGGCGTCGCGAAGCCCTGATCTACCGTTTCGCTTCGTTTTTTGCCTCACCGCCCCACAGCACACACGAAACCTCTCGCGACAACGCCCTGGCGAGAGTAGTGCGGGATTCACTTCGCTACGTTCCAAATTTGTGGACGCTACGGTCCAAGTTTTTGGATGGACCTCGGTTGGAGCGATGCAGCACACTCGTGAGATTTCGCAGCTCCTCCACCCTACCAGCGGAGGACCTACCCCGCTCGTGAGGGCTCGCGAACTTGGACACTGACAGCATTCACGAGTTTTTCCTGACAGAAGTCGTGTGGGTGCTATGCGGCGACTGCTTCACGAAACGAAGTCGTTTTTTTTTTCGTTTCGTGCACCGTGCAGCGAGGCCCTTACTGTCGCTCGGGAAACTCTCGAAACCCCATTGAGAGCTGTCAGAAGGCACGGGATAACGCCACTCTCGAAAAGTCGAGAGTCGCCCGCCTGCAAAACACAAATTCCCAAGTGTCCTCAGGAGTTGCCCGCCGACCGGCTTGTTTTTTCGAGAGTGGACCTCCTGTCCCGATGGCCAGACCAGCCTGGCGTTGTCCCGTAGCGTAGCAGTACATGTCTTCTATCGAGTCCCATGATGCCCGGGGTTACAGTAAGTGCAGCGACGGCGGGTATTTTGAGAGTCTCGCCTCTCTGACAACACTAGTCGAACTCTCGAAATATTTCGAGAGTCTAGAGTAGTGCAGCGAAGGCCCTTTTTCTTTTTTTTGTCGATGCACTTCAAAAAAAGAAAAAAAGAAAAGAAAAAAAAAAAGAAAAAAGAAGGGCGACGGCCTTGAGATATCATCATTAAGCTGACCAGCCCCAGGTAATTCAGAAATAGTTGGTTTTACAACTTTTACTCATCAACTTCCATCATCTGGATTCGAACACGGGTCTGTATTTTCAACAGTTAATGGGTGTACCCACTGAGCTAGGCTCTTGGGTCTTCGACACACTTTTCAAAAGGCCTGGTACCACACCACAATTTCTTGGGCACACCTGCATCCATCTGGCTGCTATGGGTCCGCAAACAGTATCACGACCTGCTAGCACCACGCCCGGTGCTTTTTTTTTTTGGTTTCTTACTTATTTTTATCTTGAGGCACTTTTTTCTTTTATTTTTTTGGAGGCACTTTTTTTTTGCCCTGTAACCTGCTGATTGCAGGAGAGTGAGGTAGAGAGATCTGGGGATGATTTGGTGTGGGCATTCCAAGGGACAACCAAGGGTAGCTGTTGGGATGATGCTCTCCAGAGCTGGGGCGAGTAGTGTTGCTCTGTAACCTAGCCAGGTGGGGGTGTGAGGCCTAGGAGAGCAAGGCAGGGAATAAGACAATGTTGGACAGTTTTAGAGAGTTTTGTTTGGGAGTCTAGGGGTTCTGAGCATTAGAAAAGAGGTGGGTAGTCATTCACAGTTTTTTAACCTCTCCTTTAATTCTCTTGAATTTCTTCAATAGTTCTCAGATTGATTCCCAGCCGAAGCCGGGTAATGGCCCTGGCATCTCAAATGACTTGTGCAACTCTATATGGGACGCTGGGCCCGGTTCCCAGCACGTGCTGCTCCCCACGAATAGACTGGAGCATTTGTGAAAGAAAAAAAAAGAGGCACTTTTTTTCCTAAGCTAGAAGAGGTGCAACGACGAGGTCACCCCTTGTGACCACGTGGGGACCAAATGCCTCAAAAAACCCGAAACACATGCCTCAATGTTTTGAGACTTTTGGTCCCCGTGCGAGTATGCCCTGAGTTACCGCCGGTGGCTGGTTTCTTCTCTTGCTACTGGCTTCGTGCGAGGTGGGCTCTTCGTTAATGACGCTTTTTGCAAGTACTGCAGGTGAATGTGAGTAAGTGATTGCAAGCTAGAGCCTGAAGTCTGTGACAGGAGCCTGAAGATGGGGAAGGAACCTGGCAGACGAGTTCCCTGTCGTGCGCCAGCATGTCCGGCGAGCCCGTGTTAGCCGCGGGGGCGGACGCTGGAATGAGACGCGCGAGATTCTGAGTAGAGGCACAGACGCAGAACTTGTCAATAAGTAATACAGAGGGAGCGCAAGCGCTGATAGTAGGATGCACGGGCTCGGACACGGGACAGAGATTGACACACACATGCTTTTTTTGAGTGTATAGCGAATATGACAACACACACACAAACGCTGTAGAGACGAGAAGTTAATCCGACGTTTCTCCTCCGGGTTCGCAGAGACACAGTCGTTCGTGCATGTGTGTGTGTGTGTGTGTGTGTGTGTGTGTGTGTGTGAGAGAGAGAGAGAGAGAGAGAGAGAGAGCGGAGTTGAGTATTCGGCTGAGAGAGAGAGAGAGGAGCTGAGTACTCGGCCAGCGTGGCAGCAACAGACGGCAGTGGAAATGGGGTACGGTTCAAAAGCCGGCTCATCGCAACCGCAGACGAGTGAAACTCCTGGTGTGCCCTTGATGGGCGGTTCAGTAGGTTACGCAGGACCGATGACGATGACGGGATATGTTGGCGGTCCAACGGGTTCGGCTCCTTCACCTCCCGCAGGGTACGCTTCCCTGCCAACTACTGTGCCCACATTAGCTCCCAACAATCCACCGTACAATCAATCATACGTCGCGTCTCCATTTCTAGTCCCCGCTCAGCTTGGTACGGCTCCTCCCGGCCCCATGCCGTTCCCGCTTCAACCAGGTCCACCACCAGCTGTCGTGGGCCCAGCAGGRATGGGTTATCCAGCGATGGGCGGCGGCGGCGGCGGCGGGGGGAGCGTGCTTACTACGTTCGCGGTCGTTGCTCCGCCAGGTCCTCCCCTTCCGCCCATCACCTACGTGACCGGCTATGATGCTCCCAAACGAAACTGGGAGGGTGGTCTATGCARTTGTTGCGCAACGACCAGCTCTGGTAGCGGCGGCTGTGGCCTGTGTTGCCTCACCTGCTGCTGTCCTTGTATCACTTTCGGCAAGTCCATGAGAATCGCCCGCTTGGGCGTGTGCTGGAGCAGCGGCCTTTTGTTCTACATCCTGACCGTCGGTATGCTCATCCACATGGCGATTTTTTCATTTCTAGTTCCGAATGTCATTACTCCAAAACACCACCACTACCACGACGGCTACTATGTAGGCAGCAACGACGGCTACAACTACACCGGCGGCTACATCTACAACGACAACGGCAGCWACAACTACAGCGGCGGCTACAACTACAACCAGGGCTACGACTACAAGGAGTCCGAATTTGACTATTTCACGTTGAGCGACCAGAGAATTTTTCTGGCGGGGGTTGGTCTGATGCTTATCGGTTCTTGTCTCTTCGGAGGGAATTATAGGCGTTTGATGAGGAAAAAGTTCAGAATCCAGGGGCACGTAGCAAACGATATGTGCATGCATGCATTCTGCTCTAGCTGTGCGCTGTGCCAGGAGCACAGAACGCTCCATAACAACGTGAAGAATGGCGAGTGGGTGGAGGCGGCGCCTGTTCAAGCTGTGTCGGTGGTACTCCCTCCCATTCAGCAAACAATGTCTTGATAGATTAATAGATAACAGGCGTGCATATGCGTCCATGTAGTGAATCGCACCTGGCTGGTGAGGTCATTGCACTTTAATACTCATCTAATCAATACCGGCACTTGCTGGACCCATTTTTTGCATACTCATTTGTATCATCGCTTAGGTGTCATTTGACTGTACCATATCCATACGTACATATCATCACGTCGTCGGGTAGCATCCACTTCTCCTGCACGCGCCCATGCGCTCGAGTAATCACGTGCGTGTTCATTGAATGATATGCGTGTGCATGCCATCACGTGAGTGCTGATGCAATCACGTGCGTACTCATGCAATCAGGTGCGTGCACGACACGTCGCGCGTAAGCTTTGTGAGCATAGGTAGTCGTCACCGATGTGTGTGTGTGTGTGTGTGTGTGTGTGTGTGTAACGGGCGTTTCAGGGAAGGATTCATTCCCCATTCCGCTGCCAACGGACGGTTGCGTGCTATTCGACCCTTCATGATACCGCAGGACTTACCTGTCTGACTCTTGCGAGCCTCCAGGCATAAAGTGCAGCAATTCGGGCATCTCTGCTGAATTGCGGGACACGAAAGGCCTCCAACCTCATCCGTATGCCTGTGCATTGTGACGATATTGACGCGTGCACGAACTGTTTACCCGCAGACCATGCATTTCTACCGTCCATGGGATTCTCGGGTCCATTAAGTGGCATTAACACATTCTAGCCTTGCCCCTGTATAGTATAAACGATAAGTCAGAATACAGTAGTCAGCTTCACAAACTCACCGAGAGAGAGAGAGAGAGAGAGAGAGAGAGAGAGAGAGAGAGAGAGAGAGAGAGAGAGAGAGAGAGAGAGAGGTTCTTCCCATGAAATTGGTGCTGTGGATGGAAGATAATTCTGATCCCTGCGGCGGTTTGAGGGGTGTTTTATATTGGTATTTATTGGCAGGTGGGCTCGGGAAGCTGATCTACGTGCTAGACCGTCGTCGAGACTGATAAATAAGTAACGAGCTACATCCGTACTGATGTCTAGATTAGGTGCACAGGGCCGTGAAGCCGCCGTGTGAGAGGCGTTCCCTTTCTTCTTTTTTTTTTTTTTCCTTTTTTTTTTCTTTTTGGCTATGAGGTTTCATCTGCTGCCACTCCAACCAAAAATTCGTAATCCACCGTACGATTCCATCATCGTTCAAGAGATCAGTGTTCAGCCGGAAGTAACCCGGACCTCTTTCTGCAACCTCAGATAGAGAACATGTCATCACCACCGCCTTGTGGTCCGAGATAGGGTAGTTATCTGTCCTCACCCGGATGACATTGCTTTTCAAACCCTCAGAGACCAGTCCCTTTCTTGCGTCCGGAAGACTATATTTTCGTTGTTTCCTTTTTTATTCTTTTTTTTTTTTTTTTTTTTTATGTGGCCCGATGGACCACGGATCAGATATTAAACTGTTCAGAACAGATACTACACTTGATCTTAGCCAAAAGGCCGAGAAAAGTGTTCACGATCATGGATTCGAACATGGGTCTGTATTTCAGCAGTTCATGGGTAAACCACATCGGTGCCTGCCGATGCTTTCTCGAGAATCGATTCCAAGGAGACGGGCCAACTGCGCGAAAAATAGTTAATTGCCACATGGCCACCGACATTAAAAAAAAAAAAAAAAAGCATAAAAGAATAATCACAACAATTAAACCCCGTAGAGGTCTTGGGTTCAATGCCCACTGGCCTCATGTACCTTCCTGGGCAAGCTTGGCGCCCGCCACCTAGAGATATGCCGTTGGTTCCCCCGAGTGGCATTGAGCAGAGACTGCTGATGTTCATAGGGGGAGGGGACCGGAGGGGAGGCACAGTGACCGGCGCATGGATCCTGATGCTACCGGCTGACCCCTGGCTGGTATCGCCCACCTGCTGTAGCAGGTATCGCACCTGCTGGTGGGTGCAGCTCCGGCTCGTTGGAGGCTTGAGCACGGATGTGGCTGCTACGTGGTTCCCCGTAATACTATAATGACAATAAAAAAGGCCTGAAAGGCCGTCCTGTCCAGATTTGGCAGGTAGTTGAATTGGTTGGGCTTAAAGAATTAGCCTTTTTAATTAAAAAAAAAAAAAGAAAAAAAAAAAAAGAAAAGTGTTCACGGGAGAGCATATGGGGGCTGCTCCCGACCTGCAGGTGGGCGATACCCGCCACGGGACAGCCGGTAGCGTCAGGGACCATGCCAACAGGACCGATCCCTGTGCCTCGCCTCAGGTCCACTCCCCTAAGAACATCAGCAGCCTCTGCTCAATGCCGATCAGGGGATCCAGTGGTCTATCTCTAGCTGGCGGGGGCCAAGCATGGCCAGGAAGGTACACGAGGCCAATGGGTATTGAACCCACAGATCTTGTGAATGCCACTTGTGAACCTTACCAGCTGAGCTAAGCCGTTGGGTATCTTCTCCTTTTTTTTTCCCTTTCATCCTTTGGAAAATTTCGATACGCCCCTGAAAGTTAGATCTATTTTTTTTGGCAGCACGCCCCTCGGACGGCCGACTTACCCTGTCGTGCCCTTGGGGCCTGTGAAATTTCTTGCCGGCCCCTGTCAGTGAGGGGTGCAACATTCCAACATGCCCCTGTGGCCATTCCCATGGCCCTGGGAGAGGCGCTACCGGGGTATACTGGAAATTTGGAACCCTTACCAGTAGGGGCATATTTAGCTCAGTTGGTAAGGCACAGAAGTTGCATTCAGGAGGTTGTGGGTTCAATCCCCATTGGCCTCACGTACATGCCTGGGCAAGCTTGGTGTTCTACCAGCTAGAGATAACCCGCTGGCTCTCCAAGCCAGCATTGGCAGGACCTTGGCCAAATATTGTTGGCTGCTATGCAGCAATGATATTTGCCATTAGCCACCGCTAATGTGGGGTTGGAGGGGGGTAGGGGGAGGTGCAAGTGACTGGCCAAAGATGCTCGGCACTACCATCGCCGGTTGCCCCCGTCGGCAATGCCTGATCACCCTGCATCATCGTGATGAGGGGCCGATACAAGCCTTGCTCTCGCACCACTGCTGTGGTGCAAACCTACCCGGTGGGCTGGGGAGAGTTTCAGGTTTGGTTGGTGTTCCCCCGTACTATACATAGAGTAGCGAGACGATGAGATAGAATATATGCAAGCGAAGTTTGAGAGAAGAATATAGATTACTTAAAAAAAAAAAAAAACATATTTTAGGCCGAAACAACGCCAGTGGATTTTCAGAAACTTCAATCGGCCTCAGAAGGGCGCGACATGGTACGGCCGAGTAGCCCAGTGCGTAGAGCAACGGTTGGAAATGCGCATTGTGGTATGAGGTTGCAGGTTCAAAACTCGATTGCAGCCTCACGCATTTCCGGCCGGGCTGGCGGGCGTTGACCAACGTGCAGCTGTACACACTGTCCTCTGGGTGCTGCATCGTTATGAATACAGACCCTGTCTGCATCACTCAGGGGACTTAGTCCAAGTTGTTGTATGCTGGGTCTTGACTATGCGTGGGCTGCTTGACGTGGCCATTGATGGTTCTGATATTCTTCCCTGTTCAGGCATATAATACATTGGCATCAATTCACAACGTAGCACATATGGTAGGGCTGTAACGAACTGTTTTCTGCAACCTCGCGACTTTCTGCGCAAGGCTACTTCGGGGGTTGATCGATATGGGCCCGCCGAATTGCATGTATGCCCTCACCTTTTCGGAATTGAAGCTGGTATGGTCCCACGCCGATTGGTAGTTGATCGCGCCTTAGCGAGCGCAGAGGATATTAACTGTTGCCATAGCTTCTTTCTTGTTCTGCTGTGGGAGATGGGAATTTTGGAGCGATAGCCGCGCGGGAAAAATCTTTTTGAATTTTCAAGTGATGTCGAGCCCCTGCGGGCTCTCGGAATTTTTTTCTCATATTTCTTCTTGCAATTAGGACTTAGGCTAGGAGTTTGGGTGCATCGCGATGCTGTCGACAACTGCACGGTGCTTCTTGCTTGCGCGCTCCTTGCTGCGCCAAGGTCTGTGCTCTGGCTTCCCCACACCTTAATCTTACGTGCAATTGTAATTCTCTTCTTGGCAGGCGCGAATGTAATTGTAATCTTCTCCTTCTTGATATCTTCGCGTGCGTAGTCTTTCCAATCCTATTGGCCTAAGCGATGAATGACTGGATCGATGCGTGGAGAGTGGCTACGTCCCCCGCGCCGCGGCCCTACCATCCAGTCGTAGGCACTACCTTCCTCCTTCTTCCCTCCCACTCAGACGCAATCTCGGGTATCTCGCGCAAACGCTCACGCTATAAATATTGCAAGCGCAATTAAATAGCTCTCTATGAATTTTGGAGTTAGCGCGGTCGAGAGTATCGGCTAACAAGCAAGCGTCGGAAGGTGAGTAGAGAGTTGGGCGATCCGACGAGCTGGTGCTGGGTATGCGGGGTTGACGTGGGGCCATGATGGACTGTGGCGCACAGGCGAACCTTGCTTGCATGCTCGGACTAAGCGGGGTGACAACTCTATGTGGGTGCGAGGCAACGGACTGCCCGCATCGAGATACTGTGAAGAGAGAGAGAGAGAGAGAGAGAGA